TCCTTAGCCCTGCTGCTATCCCAGCCCAATAGCTCATCTTGGATTTGTGTGGGATTTGCATGGACTGGGAGATATTGGCATTCATTCAAAGTCTATCCATTCTATTAATAATAACCTTGAGAAACTTGTACTAATGATGTGCTCAGTGCCTAGCCTCGTGCTGACTACACTGCACGCTTTTTATTTTTGATCCCAAGGTAATTTTATTACAAAGAGGAAACTGATGTGAAATAGATTGGATGGAAGAATGTGAGATTGTGTATGTGTGTTTTCTTTTGGGCGATTTTCCTAACAAAATCAGTTTCTTACTAAGCATATGAACATATTGTTACATTTGCAATGGTCTTTTTGTGTTTCCCCACAAATTTAATCGAAGAAATGTACTACTATATAAATGTACTACTATATAAACCATTATGCAAAGCTACACATAATTATAAATTAAAACATCCACTGTTACTAAAAATTATAAAAGACGTGTTTATTATTCAGTTTCACTTATATACACAAAGAATATAACAATAGTGGCAGTAAGCTTCTACTATCAATAACTCTTCTGTACTCTTTGCATAAATTAATATATTTAATTATATCTACAACTTATGATATAACAATAACTATCACCTTCCTTTTTACAGATTAGAAAATCGAAGCTTAGAACAATTTTGTTACTTGGCCAAAGACACAGAATTTGTAAAAGTTAGAGATGAAATATTAACCAAATGTTCCAGTTCAAGACAGTTTGACTCAAATTTCTACTCTCAGCTGCTCTTCTATACTTCATATTATTACATCTGATCCTCACACACAAGTTTGAGATTTTCAGGATAAAAATAATTGTATTTGCATATGAAAACCTGAAACACAGAGCATTTGGATGGTAGAAACCTGGCCACTTATTCCTCCATCAATAATGGTAATGTGATGGACTTTCTTTCATAATAAGATCAGATGAAATTATAATAATCAACATAACTACATATGCTCATCATCAGTTTTGTAAACTCCTGAGAAAATATGTCTATTTCCATTTAATGTGAAACAGTTTCCATGACTCTTTATGCAGTATGAAAAAAATACTTTAAGTAAATCTGAGTAAGAGTTCTTCAAAGTAATCACAATAAAATTAATGTCTATAGGGAAAAAAGGATGAAGTTAAATTTTTAAAAGTTTCGTGCCCACTGCAGGCATTTTAAACTATACTTTACATCAGAATTGCCTGAGAAGATTTTTTAAAAAATGCTTCACCACTATCTCCATCTTATTATTACATAGATCTAGAAGAGACCTCAGGGATCTATTTTTCAAAGGTTGAATCTAATACACAAGCAGAGTTAGTAGTTACTGGCTTAGCATGCAGTTATTTTTGTGCTAGGTATCTAGATATATTATTTTGTTTCATTTTCACAGCAATCCTCATATATATTATAGATTTAAATCCAAGACTAAGATGGGTTAAAGGATTTTCCCCAAGAAACAGATAAGTGTTTCAAAACAAGTTGGAACTATTCTATATGCAAAACTATTAACTCCATACTACTTTGCCCAAGCACACCAACCCTGCACATATATATGGTGATACTGTCCTTCAGAAAATATTTGGATTTTTAAATATTTTTTCTGTATGAAGGTATTCCTTAATTTTATCACCCATAGAAGGTAATTTTAATAATGACAGGAAATTTATTTACTTATTTGTTCCAGGATATTATGGGGGTACAAACATTTTGGTTACATGTTATGACTTTGCCTCACCCAAACCATGATTCGAGGTATGGCCTTTACCCTTTACAATGCTCACCACATCCATTAGTTGTGAGTTTACCCACCTCCCACCTCTCAATCACTAAAGAATATCACTACCATGTGAACACCACAGTGTTGATCAGTTAATGCCAAAAGAAAGCATGGCAGGAATTTTTGATAATTTGTTTATTTTTCTCTTTCCAGTGCCTTGACATTTTTTGGAACTGAACGTTCAGACTCATTAACTTAATATCATACTGAGCATTAAACTTTGACTTTACTTTTTTTCTGAGAATGTGTTACTTATCAATAATAGGGGAATGGAATTTTACCTTAAAAAGTTAAAGTAAATATACTAGACAACAAAATAAAGCCATAAAGAATTTTTATATGGTCTTTTGCACAGAAGGGTTCACCCTTTCTCAGCAAGTGTATGAACTCTGTCCGTTCTTTCAGTTACTCTACCAACTTTTTCTTGCTATTCATTCTTTCTCTTTAATAATATTTTTGGGCTAATTTTAGACTTACAGAAATAGTTACTGTACTGTCTCGGTCTGTTTTGTGCTGCTTATAACAGAATACCTAAAACTAAGTAATTTATAAAGAAAATAAATTTATTTTCTCACAGTTCTAGAGGGAGGGAAATCCAAGATCAAGGCCCCGGCATCTGGTGAGGGCTTTCTTGCTGTGTCATCTGGAGGGGAGGAACACTGTGTCCTCACATGGTGGAAGGTGGAATGGCAAGAGCGATGAACTTCCTCTGTTAAGCCCTCTTATGAGGGCATCTAATTCCATTCATGAGAGAGGAGCTCTCATATGCCCTAATCACTTCTTAAAAGACCCACCTGTTAATGCTATCCCATTGGCAACACCTGAGGTTTGGAGGGGATATAGTTTAAGTCTAATATAGTAGTACAAGGATCCAAACAAGAAAACCAGCAATTGATATCCATTTTTTTCTTGTCATTACCCCGCATTAATGTTTCATCCCCTGTTAACTGGACTACTACTGTAACCTCATAATTAGCATGGTCTCCTAATCTATATCTCTGCCTTCAGTTAAAACTGGGACCACTAACAGAGGGAGTAACCCACAGCATAGGATTGATCTTTAATTGAGATAGCTTCTGTATGTGCTGTAGTGTAAATCCAACACTCCCTATCTTGGCGTTCAGATGTCCTCTATGTTCTGCTCTGAGTTTGACCCTCTAGCCTTAAATTTAATGATGGACTTCTTTCTGTCATCTTCCATTCTAAATTTATTTGGCACTTTTATCTCACTATCTTCCTCTTACCTAGAAGATTTTTTCTCCAATTCATCTCCATCCTATGGAATATTTAAATAACTATTAACAAAAAACATTGTACTTCCATGTGTTCATTTTCACTAGCTAGCTGAAGAGTTACTTGCAAAAGTAAATATATAAATGTGTATATGTGTATTTATATAGTTCACAGTGTCTGGTGGAATATGTTATACAAAAGGAAGCTTTAAGTGCATTTTTTTTCTAACTGTAGATTTTGTAGCATCTCTGAGTCATCATTCTGAGTAGCAATTCTAATTTTACAGGATTGTCAACTGCTCAACAAATATTATTATTACCTTTTCTTATATGGTGACTGTAATTCAAAATACTTCAAAAAGATTTTGATTGGCAAGATCTTGCTAAAGTTCTACACTGTTTCAGCAAACACTGAGGTGTGCTACTCAGATACTACTTCATTCCCTTCAGGATGAAAATATTTTTCCCCCAGTGGCTGGGAGTGTTGATTGTTGGCTTAACACCAATGCTCCCAGCTACCACGTTGTGGTTGTCTTCAGCTTTTGGCCAAAAGCCAAGGCTCCATTCTCAGAGGAGTTCTCACATCCCATAATTGTTTGGTGCTAGAATATAGAGGCATGGTCCTATTTTTCTCAATGGGCATCCCAGTTCCAGAGCCCTGATGAAGTCTACTAAGGTCTTTTCGTGACTGCATCTCAGCACAAATGCTTCCGTCTAATATTGTCCATTTTCACTCCCCCATAAATATTGCTCAATGAACACTACCCAATAAAAATTCTGCAAGAAATCTTGATCAGAGAGTCCACTTTCCAGGCAACTGATCTATGATACCTACTTACCATTTCTTATTAAATTATCAGATAATTTATTCACTCATCCATTTATTCAGCTAGCAAATATATGTTCAACAACTTTAAGTGTCCAGAACTTCCTGGATGAGGAAGACATTGGCCTTGCCTTCATAGAATATGATTCTTGTTACCACACCTGACTTCTCCAATGTCTATTTTCAGCAGTTCTCAGAATTTCCCATGGTGTCTCATACTACTTTGCCTTTACTTAGGCTTGGTTTCTTGCCTGGAATCCCTTCCTTGCCCTTCTCTTGCCTAACCTTCACATTCCTTTAATAGCTTAACTCAAACATACCCTCCCTTCAGAAATCATCACTGACCACCCCATCTTCACTGGGTTAGGTGAAGGATCCATACTCGGTGCTATTGCATTCAGCTGAACTTCTGTGCATATTTGTCTTTTTCCTCCTTTTCCCTCTCACCACCAAATTTTAAACCTCTTGAGTGCAGGGATCTGGTTTTAATATATAGATATATATATTCCACATCAAGCATGCTGTATGTGCTCAATTGTTGAATGAAGGAGTGAATAAAAAATAGAAAATTAATCAGAAAAAAGGTTTTGATTCTATTATCCACAGACCTAATTACCTAGGCATACTGATTAATTGGTGGTTATGATCTAATTTTATATTCTGAAGAATTAAATAAGGTGGGATAAAATATTCTTTTGATATTTCTGTATGGCATTTTTTTTAGCAGCCCGTTTTTCCAGGTACATTCAGTTGTACTTTTGCAAGACTTAAATGCTACATGCTATATTATATTATTAACCTTATGATTCATATCCCTTTGATACAATTCCTTTGCATATTCTCCAAGCCCACATGGATCTAATAGGTATCTTTAAAATGAAAGCTACAAAGGAATCTTAAATAATACAGATACTAAAAGGGCCATCTTTATATAGTACTCCAGCCTTGCAATACTCTTTCTTTCAAAAGACTTTATTGTAGTTGAAGTTATGACAGAGCAGTATATCTCCATATTTTTTAAGAGATTTCTTTCCCTCTTTTTCCCCTCCACACACAGATTTCTGTATGATATGCTTGGCAAAATTTAGCTTTTTTCAAAGAATAATGCATTCATTATTATCTTTTTTTTCCCTCTTTTTTATTAGGTACATCTGTCACTAATGTAACAGCTACAGATGCTGATGATCCAGTTTACGGAAACAGTGCAAAGTTGGTTTACAGTATCTTGGAAGGACAGCCTTATTTTTCCATTGAGCCCGAAACAGGTTTGTGGCTTACATTTTGAATTCTATTTACCATGTTTTTGCTTCAGGGAAACACTTTTCTTGGGATTTGGATTATGAAATGTCAGGGTTAAGTATTTCACTGTCTATATCAATAACATTTGAATGTGCAATGTGAGGTACATGGTAAGCTCGACGATCATTTTGATACTGATTAAAACAAATTGTACAGCCATTGTAGAAGATCATCTATTTAACAGATGGCTTAACATCATTTTTCATCCTGGAATAAACGGAAAATGTGCTTATATATGACAGTCTTAAATATCAGATTTAAGCATAAATTCAATTACTTATTGACTATGCCATGCTTAACAAGTGACATTTATATATATTTCTAAAGTTTTAATTTGCACATCTATAAAATGGGTTTGAAACCTCATAGTATTATAATGAAAATTAGATGAAGAAATAAATATAATAAATAACAAACATGCAGTGCATGGCACAGGGTAATCATTCAATGCATGCCAGATATTATTACATTTGCTACCAGATTTCTCATTGGAAAACACAATACTGATATCTACTTATTAAAGCTCTTATGAAGATATTGTTAGACCAATATTAAACCTGGCAAATACCCTGTGATCTACTAGTACAGGTTTATAAACCATGAAATAAATTATCCAGAAAGCAAACAAACAAAAACACATTTTTCTTTACTTATTTGGAAATGAATTTTATAAATATAAGTTTCTATAAATGAAGATGAATATTTTAATTGTTTTAATTTAATAATATATTAAGAGAGTAAATCTATTTTGTCAGACTGTTGTAAATCCTATGGAGTTTTATTGTAGCTCATTTAAAAATTATCATTAAGAATAATACTATTAATTTTAAACATTATTATTAAGAACAATTATTACTAAAAACAATTTCTTTTATATGTATTTTTCTTCTGTATCTGGTAGTTTTGTCTGCAAATTTCCAAAGAGAAAAATTCAATGTACAGGCACACATACATATATTATTATTTCTTTGATTCATGAGTGTTCAGAATTATTGAAATAAATTTCCATGACTTACCATGAAGTCAATTATTAATTAAATTAAAAATTTAAAACCTTTCTTTGCTTTTCTTTAATTCAAAGAGTAAAATCTTCATGCATTTACTAGTGAGAAAAAATACATTTATATATAAATAGGTCATGCCTTAAAATTGAATTTAGATTTATGAAACAGGAAAGAACTCTTGTAAAATGCATTAATTAGGGGTATAGTTATATATCTTTCCTCAGCCAAGAAAGAAGTCTGTCTTAAACTTTATCTCATTTGTGCACCTTGATGAGCCTGAGGAAGGGACAGAGCAGGTGGTCAGCTCTGGGGTTTAAGGGGGAAAACGTCTGGAGATGTCCTATATTCCTTGACCAAAGACACAGTGGCAGAGTTGGAAGCAGAGTTCAGACTCACATCCAGGTCCTTCATTGCAAAGCTGCTGTCAGAATTCTCTCAATTTCACTTTCCATATACAATAATCATCGCACAGGGGATTCTGTAAGACAGAAATGTGTCAATGGCCTATGCGAAGTTAAATAGGTTCTCCTTTGCTTCTTGGCTCCTTGCTCTTTGTTCACTTGGGTCTTTTGGTTTGTATTCCCACTGAAATATAGATATTAATCTAGCATATATACATTGAACATTCACTATGTGCCAGGCTCTGAATTAAATATATTGAGAAAAAAAATCACAATGGGTAGTCTTAGCTTCCAAGTATCCATTTTGGAAAGCAGATTTTTTTTTTTCAACATAAATAAAGAAAACATGGCAATGGCATTTAAATAATTTGTATTATAGGAATAAATTACAATGAGATATAGATAATAAAAGCCCCCTTCTAAGTTACAAGATTTGGACAGTTTTAAGTCTGCTTGATATGTATTGCCATTTGCTTAATAAATATTTGCAGCAATATTTAATATTTACTTTTCCACCTGGCAGAATGAGTATCGCTCTCAACACACATCCATTTTAGTTTTATTATTTCCAAATTGACAGCAGATATAAAATTGTCTGCTTTTATGTTTCACAACATTTATTCAGGCACTATTATGGATAATGCAATGGGGAGAAATGACACTAGAAGAATTCACATAGTAGTTGCTTAATAAATGTTGGGTGAATGAAGTTGAGGTTTTTAACTAAAGCAGACACAATGCAAATGGAAATGGAAGCTAAATTCAATAATCAATAGAGTCAGCCTAAGTTCTTTAGCTGAAACATAAATATGTATGAGTGAAATATAAACATTTTTGTGTACATGCCTGCATAATTACGCTTGAGTGTGTTCAGATGAAAGCAGAAAGTGTTCGTTATTTCCACAGAATCTAAATTTGACTCTATCTCTGAGGACTTTTCTCTCTTTTTCAAATATTTTTTGAGTCTGATATGAGTGTGCATGTGTGTTTTAGAAGAAGGTATAGGAGCTGTGTAGAAACAGCTTGAGAACATTGTTTAAAATTTTTATGTTAGAAAATTATAGAAAAATGTATAAAGAACATTGAACATTTGAATTTTTAATTCTATAAGCATATGGAAATGAACTACTCTGTCTAGTGACCCAAAGATTTGTATCAGTTGGATCCTTTGGGAAGTAGCTACTGAGACAGATGTAGGAGTGCAAGTGACTTATTGGTTTATGAATGTGAAAGACAAAAGAGGCAGGAAGTGGGCTTGGGAAGGGAAGTCCTTCAGTTCAGATCTGATACCCATGCTAGGAAAGAGGAGAAAAAGTAGGATAAGGCAATGCAGATCTGACATCTTGGCCAAACCCATGGGGTCCCCAGAACAAAGACAAGCTTTCATAAACCCACCATGCTCAGCCACTGGACAGGATGTCCTAGGAAGAACGAGGTCTAGCTTGAATCCTGAGGCTAATCCTGAAGGTATGTCAGCTGCAGCATCTAAGCTAACTATACTCCGTGGCAGGGAAATCCAAGTATGGCTTCTGTGGCTTCCACAACATGTGTATCAGCACAAAAGAGAAAACAACTTCTTACCCTATCAAATCAACAAATGTGATGTTCAAAACTGTCATATGCAGGATTAGCAAGTGCTTGGTGAATTAACTGATAGTATGAGTAATCATAGGTACACCGATTTTAAAAATGCATGCTCTGTATCAGAACATTGAGAGTGCCAACTAGTTTTCATCCAGGAATTCAAATCCTAGCAAAATAAAGTCAATACCAGGGATGAGAAGGCTCATTATGTACAGCCATGTGCCTCTGAGAGTGTCTAACAAGATGGCTCTCTGTCCAGGACTTCAGGAAGTAACTAGGCATACCCGGGTCAGAAATTGTTGGCTGAATATCAGTGGACATTACACTTATGATGAGTCATCTTCCAGTTCCTTTGTATGGTGGGATTCTGATCATAGCAGCCAGGGTCAGATCTATAGCTAGAGTGATCAAAACTGTACCAACAAACACACCCTCAACAGGCTACATGATGTGATCACGTTCATGATCTTTATAAGGAAGATCACCGATTCACCACTGTCAGCCCATCCTTGATGCCAGAACATTTTCAACAAGGAAAAGAATCCAGACCAAGACAGATAAATCATTTATGTGTTTCTTTTTCCTCCGAAGAATGCTAAGAACAGAGTTCTGGACTTTGGAAGGCATATGCTCTCCTGTCTCCTGCTTGTTACATTCCCAGTTTATGGAATTATTTTCTGTTGCTATAACATCTTGGGGAAAGCTCCTTCTCTTGTTTTGGTTATCAGCTTAAGACCACAGACAGATATGCCATTTGTTCTGTTTATTTTCTCTCCTTTGAGCTTAACAAAATCAGTAATTATCTTGTTTATTGATTTCTTTATATATTTTTGAAGTCAGTTCCCATGCTAGAGCGTATGGTCTGGGAAGAAATGAGGCTTTGTCTCATCTGTTGATTTTGCATCCTTATGCCTTGAGATGTCTGGCTCCTAGAAGTCTTTCAATAAGTACTTTGGAAAGAAGGAGGAATGGAGAGTAGGAAGAAAGCAAAGAAAGAAGGAGGAATGAAGCAAAAACACAGAGAAGGAGGAGGGAAGAAAGAATTAATAGAAAGAGAGAGAAAAGTTTTCCATAATTAATGCAGAAGATAGGAGAGGAACTAGCTAGTGAATACAACTTGGTTTCCATTACATACTCCTTCTGTTTTTCTGATGGAAAGACACCATATTAACCTCAGATATGATTTTTTTGTTTGAAATTCATAACATTCATGCCATTTCCAAATCTCAGACTATGTTTTAAGTGTCTAGGCAACACAGTGCTATTCTGGTACTTGCAAAAATGAGCCTTGAGAATATAATAAACTCTTGTGCAGATTTACTTCTAGAAAATCACATAAGGAGATAGAACGGTTCAGGGGCTACAATACCAGGAAGGAATGGTTATTAATGTCTTCCCAGGGGTCACTGTATAGTACTACTACTACTAATAAAAGTAACAGTAACAATAAATGGAAAGAAAAATACTGTGCTTGTATACTCCTCTAGGCTTGACAGAGCGCTGAACCAAACTATAGAGGGAAGAATTTTTATCTCCATTTTGCAAATGAACGAACTTCATTTCAGAGAGAGTAAATGTGTCCCCCACCTTTAGATTGATTTCTCTGTTAAATTGTAATAACAGAAAGAATAAAAACAACAAGAACACAAACAATGGCAACCTCATTTATTGAACATTTGTTATATTCTTGGCATTGTGCTGATTAGGCTTATGTGCATTATCAAATTTAATTTAATTTATGCCATACACTATTTTGAGGTAGGTATTAATGTCATCTCAGTTTTGCTGAAGAGAGAACAGAGAGTCTGACTTGGTGTGCTTCTTGATTAAGGTGTTTGAAGCAAGATTCAGTCAGTCTGTCTGATCCCAGACCCCAATTTTAAGACATTCTCTTGTATCTCCACTTGACTTCCAAGCCAGCATTGTTCATACCAGGGGATGTCATTGGTTTGGAAAGAAAGCCATAGAACTCGGAAG